TTTCACATTAACCAAAGACAATCAATTATTAAACATTCATCCTTCGTTGTTGTTATTGTTGCATTTATTTCTATACCAGTACATTGTACTTTCTTTTACGAGTACCTTATTTTAACTTTTTAATTTTGAAACTATATTTTAAATTTATTATAGTTAAATGTTACAGTTTAAAAATTCTTAATACGTAAGATCTGTAATTGAACTATGCTTTAACTTGCTTAAAAGACTTTTAATATTTTCAACGTAATTTTTATAGAACAAGTATCGAACTATAAAAGTTAGAACAAAGAAAAATCTTATAAAAGTACATTTAAGTGTACTAATACTAATGTATGGACGTTTGGAACATAATGTTCTTATTTAACCCTAATTTTAAAGTAATATTAAAGATTCATTTAAAGGAGTTTATTAGAAATGTAAAGTAATTTAATATTCAAAATATTATTAATACAATCTATCATAGTTTTTTTAATTTATTTATAGTAGAATTTTAACATTTTTATCATTTTACTAATTAATAAAGTAAACTTTTCATAACAAATAAGTAGAAAGTAATTACATTATGTTCCAAATAACCTTGATAAATTCTAACATCACGCGCAGCTGCAACAGGTGAAACAGAATTTTGTTTTTTCTTTTACATTTTATACTTTTTAAAGTTATTCTAAAATAATGTTTGACACATTTATCATTGCATACGTAGCTCACATATCAAATTAAATTATTCATTTGAACATGTAATAAATGGTTGTTTTAATTTAATCAACTTTTTTTTAATTTAATCCTAAATATATCATTGAATCAAATAAATTGTTTTCAAGAACTGAATTAGATATTTTAAACAAACTTTGTTAGACAGAAATTATAATAAAAAATTATTTGTCCTGGGAACAACAATAATTAAAAGATATTTATAATTGTGACAATAATATATTTTATTTTATTGGGAGAATATATGCTAATTTGAAGAAGCAACTGACTCTGGTCTTTCAAAGCAGATAAAAAGGTTGGAATCAAATCACTTTTCTTGAAAAGAATTGATAGATTCCATGGTTTTTCAAGGAAATGAAGATTGAAATTATTATTAAATTTTATTTTTGTCAAAAAATGGAGACAGAGAAAAGAAAGTACACGCGCCAACCATGGAGCGTGGAAAGATAACTGGCATTCTGAAAACTTTACAGAGTGGATATATATGGCTTGACTTCATTTCTAGCACAACCTTTTCCTTTGTTTTATAGAAGTGAGAAAAACAGAACAGTGAGACAGAGAGGAGAGAGAGTTTCAGACCAACCTCCTAGCTTCGTCATTGTACCTTTCCAAATTTGCCTTTGCCTTTTTCCTTGTTCCCAGCTCCTTCTTTTACAAAGGTTAGGGTTTTACGCAAGTTTCAACTACTTAACAATAATTATCAGTTTATTATTATACGCCAATTTCCCCTTTTTGATGCAATGCCTTGTGTGTGCTTACGTTCCCTTCCTTTTCATCACTCTTACACGCCAAGTTTGTTTCTCTTCACCACTTCTCCAACAATTGTAACTACTCCTTATAGCACAATCTCAGAACAAGTTCTCTGCATTTGCCAACCTTGTTTTGCTCTTCATTTATTTATTTTTTACTAGTGAGTTAGCCTCATTCATTATTTTATTTATTTGACAGGTTTTACTTTTTGTTTCATGTTTAATGCTTGGTGTCAAAGTATGCATTTTTTTTTTGTTTTGATCTCGGGGTGTGTTTTGCTTATTTACGGCGTGAATGGATGGGGTGTGGACTTTTTTGGTAGGTTTNTAAAATATATTTTATGAATTAGTTCAACCTATACACATTTATCAATGGAGAAATGGATGATTTCAAGTAAACTAACCTTCTAGAAAATACAATTTTTTGAAAATTGAAGCTTGTACATGCTCAATAATTTCAAAAATGTCACTTCAATTTTATAGATTTTGCTTGTCTAAAACTTGAGGTATTATTAAGTGAAGTTAAAACAAATTTTTGCACTAGCACATGTATACAAAAAGCTCACATTATCAATCTTAGCAATATTAAACAAACAAAATTTCATCTTAAACCTCGTTGAGTCACATGTAACAACTTTATACTTATGCATGTAAAACTTCTAAAACTAATTTTATAAAAAGGTAAAGATGAATTTTTCAAATAAAAGTTTTAGGAATTCTGATTGATTAGATCAAAATCTCTATGAAAAACTCTAGTATTCAAAAAGATAATTAGGTTGGTAAAAAACTTAAAAGAGTCAAAAACAAAGATATATAAGTTTTTATGAAATAAAACTCAACTAATTTATTTATTTATTTATAAATTTTATATCTTAATAATAAAATATTCAAGTTGACTTATCATATACAATTTCTATTCTTAACTATTTTCTTGTTTCTTACACATAAATTATTTAAAAACTAAATTGAATTATTATTTTAATTTTAAAAAAAATCACTCTTAAAGATACTTCATTTTAATAGTTTAGATAATTAAAACTTAAACCGTCAATTCAATTTAAGTAAAATGTAATACAATTTATTTAAATTATTATAATTTTTAGACTTAAATTTTATGCATTTTACACCCGTAACTATTAGTTAACCCGAAAATATTATTTTATTTGTTTTTGATAAGTTGTACACCAAAGTAATTAAGCCATAAGATTAGGGTTTTTGAAAGAGGACTGTCGATCGCACGCACAGAATCCAATTTACTGTTCTTTTTAGTGATTAATGACATCTTGATTCTCATAAAAAGAGATAAAGATGGTCTGGCCAACCTTTTTAGCTTATTTTTCTCTCTCTCCTTTTCAACCCTTAACGGTCACTTCCTGTTCTTGATGGCTATGGAATGGACTTTCCCCTCTTCCTTCTTTTTTCCTTCTCCCTTTTTTTATTTATTTTTTATTCATTTCCTACGTGGAAATTATTCTTCCACGTAATCATGACCTGGAAATTCTCTCAGTACTTATCTCCTTCCCATGCTTCAACTCTTTCGAGCCATGCACACTCTTTTTCCAATAAACAAACAAGAAAACGACAACAAACATCACATTGTTTTTTTTCTAAACAATGACATTACTACGTTAATTAAGAACAAGCTTAGGTTATTGTTTTGCATTAAATACATGCAAAATCACGCCGATGATGAAATGAACAGTCCATAGATTTCGTATTTGATTATTTATATTCTCGTATGAGATATAAATTTGGTTATAACGTTCTCATCATTTAAAATCATCATATACTATGTTGATTAATTTCGTCCACGTCCCTTTCCATTATGTTCTCTACCCTTTTCTTTTCTTTTCTTTTCTTTTCCAAAAACCAATCATTGTTTCAAGAAAATCGATGGTTATTGAAAGCCTTTTGAGTTTTGAGTTGAAAGATAAAACGCAGTTGCTTATACGATTTGTTCTACTCCATTTCTAATCATTTTAGACAAAATTCATTAAAAAAATAAAAAATATGTTATATAAAATAAGTTTTTGACATCTTATTTATAAAACAAGTTATTGATACCTTAAAAATGATTTGTATCTAATTTTTTGTTTTTTTTTTATTTTAAGTTAAAAAAGTTGATATACTAATTTTTATAATATCACGTGTTAAGTTTAGAACTAAATTAGTAATTTGTTAAATGTATTAATATCATTATGCATGAATTTTAGGAGTGGAAAAGAACTTATTTAATGCTGTATGCAATTATTAAAATCAGCATCCAACCAATTATCTTATTGGATATTCATGACGTCCTCTTTTTGAAACCAATGGCTCTCTTACACAGTTTCACATTAACCAAAGACAATCAATTATTAAACATTCATCCTTCGTTGTTGTTATTGTTGCATTTATTTCTATACCAGTACATTGTACTTTCTTTTACGAGTACCTTATTTTAACTTTTTAATTTTGAAACTATATTTTAAATTTATTATAGTTAAATGTTACAGTTTAAAAATTCTTAATACGTAAGATCTGTAATTGAACTATGCTTTAACTTGCTTAAAAGACTTTTAATATTTTCAACGTAATTTTTATAGAACAAGTATCGAACTATAAAAGTTAGAACAAAGAAAAATCTTATAAAAGTACATTTAAGTGTACTAATACTAATGTATGGACGTTTGGAACATAATGTTCTTATTTAACCCTAATTTTAAAGTAATATTAAAGATTCATTTAAAGGAGTTTATTAGAAATGTAAAGTAATTTAATATTCAAAATATTATTAATACAATCTATCATAGTTTTTTTAATTTATTTATAGTAGAATTTTAACATTTTTATCATTTTACTAATTAATAAAGTAAACTTTTCATAACAAATAAGTAGAAAGTAATTACATTATGTTCCAAATAACCTTGATAAATTCTAACATCACGCGCAGCTGCAACAGGTGAAACAGAATTTTGTTTTTTCTTTTACATTTTATACTTTTTAAAGTTATTCTAAAATAATGTTTGACACATTTATCATTGCATACGTGGCTCACATATCAAATTAAATTATTCATTTGAACATGTAATAAATGGTTGTTTTAATTTAATCAACTTTTTTTTTTAATTTAATCCTAAATATATCATTGAATCAAATAAATTGTTTTCAAGAACTGAATTAGATATTTTAAACAAACTTTGTTAGACAGAAATTATAATAAAAAATTATTTGTCCTGGGAACAACAATAATTAAAAGATATTTATAATTGTGACAATAATATATTTTATTTTATTGGGAGAATATATGCTAATTTGAAGAAGCAACTGACTCTGGTCTTTCAAAGCAGATAAAAAGGTTGGAATCAAATCACTTTTCTTGAAAAGAATTGATAGATTCCATGGTTTTTCAAGGAAATGAAGATTGAAATTATTATTAAATTTTATTTTTGTCAAAAAATGGAGACAGAGAAAAGAAAGTACACGCGCCAACCATGGAGCGTGGAAAGATAACTGGCATTCTGAAAACTTTACAGAGTGGATATATATGGCTTGACTTCATTTCTAGCACAACCTTTTCCTTTGTTTTATAGAAGTGAGAAAAACAGAACAGTGAGACAGAGAGGAGAGAGAGTTTCAGACCAACCTCCTAGCTTCGTCATTGTACCTTTCCAAATTTGCCTTTGCCTTTTTCCTTGTTCCCAGCTCCTTCTTTTACAAAGGTTAGGGTTTTACGCAAGTTTCAACTACTTAACAATAATTATCAGTTTATTATTATACGCCAATTTCCCCTTTTTGATGCAATGCCTTGTGTGTGCTTACGTTCCCTTCCTTTTCATCACTCTTACACGCCAAGTTTGTTTCTCTTCACCACTTCTCCAACAATTGTAACTACTCCTTATAGCACAATCTCAGAACAAGTTCTCTGCATTTGCCAACCTTGTTTTGCTCTTCATTTATTTATTTTTTACTAGTGAGTTAGCCTCATTCATTATTTTATTTATTTGACAGGTTTTACTTTTTGTTTCATGTTTAATGCTTGGTGTCAAAGTATGCATTTTTTTTTGTTTTGATCTCGGGGTGTGTTTTGCTTATTTACGGCGTGAATGGATGGGGTGTGGACTTTTTTGGTAGGTTTGATTTTTGGATTTGTTGAATGGTGATAATAGCTTCAAGGGAGTTGACCGGGTTCTTCTTCAGTTAAGAGGATGGTTCTGTGATTGGGTTCACTGAGAGGAGTGTGCTGAAGATTAAGGGTGTGGTGAAGATCAATGGATTGGAAGAGATCTGCTTTGGAGTGCCAGAGAGTAAAGATCTGTGGATAAGTTCTGTTGGGATTTTTGTTGATCTGCATAATTCACACTTCAAGTGCCGTCACCGATCCCACTGATGGTAATGATTCTTACTCTTTTGACATCTTGAGATTTGGCATTTTGCGTGGTCTTCCCATTGAACTACTGTAGATTCGGTGGTCACACTGGTGTAGTGGACCGTTGATAGTGCAGACTTCTGGGACTTCTTTTGTTTTTAATATTTTGTGTTTCTCAATGGTGGTTGAAGTTTATCTTCTTCTCTGCTATCTGCTGGCGATAAAATTGGATTTCATGTATTCTTAGATGATGTTTTGGGGTTGATATCCTTCTTCCCCTTTAAAACAGAAGTTATTACACTTTGTGTTCCCGTGGCCCATAGTAACAATTAGCATTATATTTAATAATTAACACGATGATTTTAATATTAATGTTCAATAATTGGTCCGTTCATCTTTAAATGAGCTGAATGGTGAAGTGTGATTCGTGTAACCAACCAGAATATTTATGAATTACTGCTTCAACATATTCTTCATTTGTCATGTCATACATCTGAAGTCTTTAGGAGTTCTAAAGTTTTCTGATTGTATCAGTTGCTGCAATTAATAGCTTCTATGTTGCACTGGGATCCCCTGTCCTTCCTGGGTGGGTTGCTAGTGGAGGAGATCCATGTGGAGAAGGGTGGCAAGGCATTTCTTGTAATGGGTCATTCATACAAAAAATGTATGTTATATTGTTATCCCTTTAGCTTCATGTTGATTTGTCGATTAGCATCTGAACAAAATAGATAATGACAAGTTTTATTATCATCTTATTTATGACAGAGTTCTAAATGGTGCAAATTTGGGAGGAGAACTGGGAGATAAACTGTCAACTTTTGTTTCAATCTCAGTAATGTAAACATCTCTCTCTCTTTCTCTTTCTCTCGTTCTTCATTTATCTGTGTGCACATGCATATATGCATGAACATGGACATGTTTGCGCATCTATTGCTTTTTCCCTACTCATGTATTTTTGTGGTCATGCTTCTTATAGTACATATAAATTTCTTCTGCATCCTCTTTACTGTTTGCTATGTATTTTGGAGGTAGTGATCTAAGCAACAACAACATTGGAGGAAATATTCCATCTAGTTTGCCAGTTACCATGAAAAACTTGTATGTAATAACCCAACTCTGATACTAGCTATTCCTAACAATTTGTGCAAAAAGACGTGATGGATTGTATTTTCAGTTTTCTTTCAGCCAACCAGTTTACTGGAAGTATTCCAACCTCTTTATCCACTCTGGCTGGACTGACAGACATGTGAGTTTGTTGCTTCTCCTGTTTTATATTAAATTTTATGCAAGTTCGTCCAAATTATATTGAGTTATCTCTTTGCAGGTCTCTTAACAACAATTTCTTAACTGGAGAATTACCGGATGCTTTTCAGTCACTTACGCAATTGATCAATCTGTATGATCCCATTTCATTTAGCTCTTTTGTACGAAGATTCTCCGCTTCCTTATACATTAAAATATTTCATTAAGGCATTACCTATTGTGCAGTGATTTATCGCATAATAATTTGAGTGGAGCATTGCCTTCTTCTATGGATAACTTGTCATCTCTGACCACCCTGTTAGTATTTTGTCTTAGCCTTTCATATTATGACCTTCTATTTTTTGCGCCTAGCAAGCTCACTATTTCCTTGTTGGCAGACGCTTACAAAACAATCAATTGTCTGGGACACTTGATGTCTTACAAGACCTTCCTCTGAAAGATTTGTACTTCTCTTAACCATGTCTCTTGCTATGTTAGTTTATAAAGTTGTTTTAATTTTGGATTTTATTCCTTTTGAAAAGTGTATAGGGTTAGATGCTATCTTTCTGATTTTAGTACTACTTGATTCTCTGAAATTTATGATTTTCTGCCCTTTTTGAGCAGGAATATTGAGAACAACCAGTTTGCTGGCCCAATACCTCCAAAGTTGCTGAGCATCCCAACCTTCAGGTGAAAGTCTTAAAAAATCAAGAACTTTATGTATTTTGCTTCTTTATGCTTAAATGGGATGATACCTTGAATTAGTAAATGGGAAGATGAACATGGAAGTAGGTGGTTCAGCTTGCCTTTTCTCTAGTTAAAAGTGGCCAGGAAAAGTAAACACATTATTTATGATTAGTCTCATAGTCAATATTACACACCATTTCCAATTTGTAATAGTTACTGTGCATTAAATAAGACGCACACTTGTGTTGCATTCAGATTGGTTATTTGTGAGGGCATTAACTTGTGTGGGGTATACTGTTTGGTATTCTGGATCAGTTAAATGACATAAGATGTGAGTAGTTTAAGTTGTACTGAAAGTAATACTGGGCGGTTTGCAATGGCAGGACTTACGTTTTGTTTTGGTTTATCATATCTGGCTATCCTGTAGCTTGGTATTTTTTCCTTGACTATTGTGAGTTGTTTATTTCTTGATTGAAATTTATTCTATAATTATTGATTTTGGTCCCCTCTCAAGAATTTTTGGATTTTGAAGTATATATATTATTTGTAGCTTTGTTTTAAAGATGATTTTGTTATTTAGGCAAGCTGGAAACCCATTTAATGTTAATGGTACACCCTCCAGCTTCTTCACCTCGCTCCCCAGCACTAGCACCACCAGGAACTCCCATTTCTGGGGCACCACCGGGAACTCCCACCTCTGGGTCACCACCATCTTCTGGCCGTGTACCTACTAAACAGGCCGATGGACCAGCTGCAGCAAATGAATCGCACACTGGGAAATCCAAAAATTCCACAAAAAGGGTGGTTTGGATATCTATTGGTAGTGTGTTAGGATTCATTATTTTGTTACTAGGATTCATTCTCTTTATTCCAAGATGCAGCAGAAGAGAACGGGATGGCAGAAGGTCCAAGCATCAAATTGGTGCGTATGGGGCTGAAAGGGAAATGACCAGGGATAACGGGAGTTCAGTCCAACCACCTAGTCAAATGGAAAAAGGTAAATAAATATATCCATTTCTTCATTTTTTTTATCTAACATTTAATTACTCATTGGAATGATTATCCAATTTAAACCTTTTATTTTTAAACAATTATAATTTATTAAATTAGTACCAGTAGGGGATGTTCCAAGGCCAAAAGAGGACCATCAGGCGGAGAATAGGACAGCCTGGGCTAATCCAAGGCAAAACGAAGGTCGTCAGGCAGAGATCAGGACAGTCTCGGCTATTCCAAATCCACGGAGTAAGCAAGAGAATGAGTGCAAAGAATGGCAACAATACCAAAGGCCAGAGATCATGAGATAGATATTAGTACACTAGAAGTATATTCAATGCCTCCTCCCCCTCACACCCCGCCACCTCCTCCACCCCCCACCTCCACCTCCTACTACTGAGAAGGTGACTGTTGAGCCAGCCACATCCCGCAGAGCAACTAACGTCACTACGCACAAAAAGAGTGCAGTTCCTCCTACTTTTGCGAAGTTTTTTGGTATTGCATCCCTTCAACAGTATACAAATAGCTTTTCTCAAGAAAATCTTATAGGAGGAGGCATGCTTGGTAATGTGTATAGAGCCGAGCTTCCTAATGGCAAGGTAGCATTGCTGCTTATCAATTACATTGAATATGTCATGTCTTAACTTTTATCACCCTTGAATTTGCAATAATGGCTACGGTTATCTTATCGATACTTTGTCCTTTTCAGTAGCAGTCTCTCGAATGTATTTGTAGTTGAACAGACGGTGTCTTCGTGTTGTTCTTATTTCAACATTTCTAGCCTGGTGTCAAAATATAGTGTAGTATGCTATTTTTTTATTAATGCTGTTTGTGGTTTATTTTCTGATGGTTACTCTTGCATGGTAATGTGAATTGTACACATTGGAACTTTCTTATTTTAAAAATCTTATACAAGCACTACCCTTCCCAGAGATGTAATTGCGGTATATGTATTGATGGCTCCCTCTCTTGCTAACGCAATTGCTTGTTTCTGCATATATTGATCTATCAAAGTTTTAACCACTGATATTTGTGGATCACATTTTGATTCTAGTCTCTCTGTTTTCCTTACTGTTACTAAAATATTGGATTCATATCTGACGCTTGACTTTCTTTATAAATTGTTAGTTTCTTGCTGTAAAGAAACTGGACAAGAGAGCTCGGAGAAACCAGAAGGATGATGAATTTCTTGAATTGATCAATAGTATTGACAGAATAAGGCATGCAAATGTTGTTGAGCTTGTTGGATACTGTTCTGAGCATGTCAGAGGCTTCTTATATTTGAGTACTGCAGTAATGGGTCACTGTATGATGCACTCCACTCAGACGATGACTTCAAAACCACACTCTCATGGATTACTAGAATTCGAATAGCTCTTGGGGCAGCCAGAGCCTTAGAGTAAGTCAAGTAGCTATTATCATGAAGAAACAAATTTGCTCAAGCTTGTTATTTTAGCTTAGGTTCAAAGGTTTTTGTTTGCAGATTCTTGTTATATTTCAATTGTCCTCGTTGAATTTATTTAATGGCTGAAAGTAATTTTACAAAAACTTGATCATTAAAGAGATAAGTAGTTTGAACCTTACCAGAAACTTTCTGAAGTGCAAACTCGATAAAACTCATGCTTACCATCAAAGCTCAGTGCTCTCGATGTGGATCTTACTGTTACTCAACAAAACATTAGGCTCGTTTATGTATGAAAGAGAAAGAGAAAGAGAATTAATAGTTAAACACAATTTGAAGAGCCAACTGAAGCCAAAATCATAAGATGTTGTAGTTGACCAAATCATTGTTTGTTAAACTAAGAAATCTCATATTCAGTTTCTTTAGAGAGCTTAAGGAATTTCTATAATTTATGGAAAAACGTATTTGGATGTTGTGTGGTGTGAACTTATTTTTTTAACTTTTAATATGTTTTATGATACAAAATTTGATGTTCTCAATGTAATATTTCTCTTGTCCTTCAACAAGATATCTGCATGAGCTATGTCAGCCACCTGTAGTACATAGAAATTTGAAGTCTGCCAATATTCTGCTTGATGATGATCTATCCGTGCGGGTCTCTGATTGTGGTTTAGCTCCATTAATAGCTTCAGGATCAGTCAGTCAGGTAAGATAGCATTTGATATTGTAAAAGTTTTTTCAACATAACGAGGGACATGATAAACATTTTACTGGTTTGATGTCTCCATGCTACTGAAGGAAGATTTCTCCTTAAATAGCTTATCATTAAATAAGCATGTCAATGCAGTTTGCATGATATAAGTCTGTTCATATTCTGTGTATTGTTAGCTCTCGGGGAACCTGTTAACTGCTTATGGATATGGAGCTCCTGAATTTGAGTCTGGAATATACACATACCAAAGTGATGTGTACAGCTTTGGAGTGATCATGTTAGAACTTTTGACTGGCCGTCAGTCTCACGACAGGTTAGAATGGACAAAATCATAACCAAAGTACTTCAGTCATATGTTTAACAGTTATTATTTGGAACATCCTCCACAGGACACGTCCCCGGGGTGAGCAGTTTCTGGCCAGATGGGCAGTTCCCCAACTTCATGATATTGAAGCCTTATCGAACATGGTTGACCCTGCTTTGAATGGAAATTACCCAGCAAAATCATTGTCAAATTTTGCAGACATTATCTCTAGATGCCTTCAGGTGATCCTTTACTGCATGAAACTTCAAGTTCCAGTTATTATTAGCTAATTTATTTCATCTTATTCTATGGAATTAATTTTTTTCCTTGAATGTATGTAATGCAGTTGAGCCAGAATTTAGGCGCAGCAATGTCCGAGGTTGTCTTATACTTACTAAATTATGATAAGAAGAGTTCAGCTAGTGAATCAAATGAAAAATGAGAATGGTGATGAATTTGTTTTGTGAATTTACTCCTAATGTTCACGAATCACTTGATGAGTTTCAACTAGTAGAGATTTCATGTCATGGGAGCCCAATTAGTTGTCTCCATGCTTCATTATTTCCTACTAACCTATTCACATCAATGGAAGTTCTAAGGAGTTTTTGTCCTATCAACATAAGAAATTGAATTGTTGTGATCAACACTTGTGTCTGTAGCCCCATCGTATTCATTAATTTCATAGTTGATTAGACTATGCCATGTTAGTATTGTAGAGGTGTGCTAACTAACCCATTTGTTTTGATAATTGTTTCCAAATTCTTGAAGTGATGTAATTTCGTGATGGCTCCATTGCTGTTTTAGGTTTATCCTTCACAATAAAAATTTGCATCATCTGTACCAATCATAGATAGGCTTGTAACATTGATATTTATTGTTTTTTGTTACATTCAAAAATTATATCTATTGTTTCTTCTGCTGTAGCCCGTTTGATCTATTGTTATATCATTGTGTTTTAGATAGAGTGAATGTTACTTTTTCTTTGAAAGATCACAATTTATTAATTTTAAGTGCAAAATAATTGTTTATAAGTTCTTTGAATTTTATTTCTTAGATATCCTTAGGATATCTTTGTTTCAGGGATTATATACAAGTCGTAAGTTAAGAAGTTCATTAAGTTTAAGTCCTTGAGTTCTTTATTCTTCTATTAGAGTATTAGATGCCAAATAAACTCTTTCTCGTGGATATTATTTGAATCTATTTTTGTTTCTTTGTATTGATTGGGTATGGAAATGAACATGAGAATGTACATACGCTTCTCATTCTTGTCTTTAATGCCATAATACCATTCATGTCTTATTTTAGTTTTCGATTAAATTATTAAAATACTCATAATCTATATAATTTTTATTTTTAAGATACTTTTTCTTTTATAATATCTTTTGTATAATATGTTCATTTGAGTATTTCAATTAAGATATTAAAGGATTATTTATTTTATTATATTTTTAATTATACATTTGTTTGTGATTTTATTTAATGATTTATCATATTATTTTTAAGATACATTTAGTTTTTTTTTTATGTTGAATATTATTTTGATATTTTTTATATAATTATTTTTATTTTTCAACTCATTATTATATATATAATTTTATCATTGTAATTATATAAATAAATTTTATTTATTATAACATAATAATTTAATTTAATTGTTATATGAATTTTTTTATTACTATCCAATATATATTAAAGTTTAAAAAATTAGATATTTATATTAAATTTTAACTATAATTAGTTTATTCTTTGTTATTTGTGTGATTTTAATCAAGTGTCCTGTAATAATTTCTATTAATGTATAAAATGATATTTTATTATAATTTAAAAAATTTAAGTAAATAGATTTTTAAAATATTTTTTTGTTTGAATATTTGTTTACCTTTTGTGTTTTTAAAATTCTATCAACTAGGTTTCGTTAATATGTACAACACTAGTATTCTAATTTTACATGTATATAATTATAATTTATTTATAAATGTTTGTTATTGAAAAAATAAGAATATCATCTTTTAATATTGAATATTTTGATAATACTATTTTTTTAATATTGAATATTTTGATAATACTATTTTTTTTATTGTAATTTTTTATTATTTTATAAAAATTAATTAATTGATATTAAAATAGTAAAAAAAATAGTATATATAAGTATGAATATATATTTATTATCCAATGAAAACGAAAATGAAAATTTTCTGATATCCATTAAATTTGGATATGAAAAGGGAGATGGATTTTTTCTTTGAAAACGAGTGAGATACTGAAACTTATCCACGTCTTACTTGCCATATCTGTGTTAGAGTATGCTGATATGATATATAAGGCAATATATGAAAATAAAAAATTATTTTTGTCTTAAAAACAGTAACAATAAAATAAAATATTAAATAATTAAAGTGTGGATATTATAAGATTTAATAACTAAATGAAATATCAAATAGAAATCTAACATTTGTATAGAACAGAGGTAATGGGATTTGAATCTAGAATTCCACGTAGGATAATCATTTGCCAATTGGACTAATCAAGGTATTTTTTCGCCTCGGTCAACACATATCTTTCTCGTACCTAAGATGATTTGATTTAGGTCATTTTCAAAGTTGTCATTATAAATATTGATTATATGATATCACATTGTTTATACAAATAACGTTACTTGTTTAAGTTACGCTGTTTTATATAAAAAAAAATGTTGCTGAAAGAAGAAATAATAATATAAAATGTAGTATTAGTAAATGATTATTAACAATCTTAGTATTACAGTAAATGTTTGTGTAAAATGCTTAATCTATGTAAACAAAGGACAACATATTCAAGCAATGATGCATTGTAAATATTATTAAATGGTTAAAAAAATAAAACGTAGCACAAAACAATATAGACAAAGAAGATTAACTCTCAAAACTACGAAATAAGATTACAACCTATCATAAACAATAAGTATGTAGGAACATTGTTGCTATATTTTCTCAACCTATCCGAATTCCTATATAAATATATACAGAAAAAGGTGTATTTCAAAGAGAAAAGGAACATATAAAGGCTGAAAAAACAGATATAGACTCAAATGGGTATTAGGTATGCATGGACATCATTAATTAAAATCATGGCCTCTCAAATCAAAAAATAAGAGAAGAAAAAGAAAAATCATGTACTTGTGGGAAATTAGATGAAGTGCTTCTTTTACTATAGGACCAACCAGTCAGTCAAAGGACCAAGCAGCTGACCATCTAATGAGAAAACGATTAACCGGTTTGAAAATTATTCTTAACAATAATAATCATCAATGGGAAGTTAATAAAAATAGTTGTCATTTATTGACAATTAACAGTCATTTACTGGTTATTAATGAGTCAGACCTAATGGTAAGTTCATTATAATAATTTATAAATATTTGTCTGAGAAAAAAGACAATTAATTTAACTTTAATTATTAATCTTTATGACAATATTATTACGCAAAGTCATTGACTTGAGTGTCTTTTGCAGACACTCTCGCCCACGGCTAAGACAAAAGAAGAGAGAGAATAACACAACTGGATGATGGAGTAGACAACTTTGAATGTTTTGGATTAAGGATCTCAACCCTACCAAAACACTTCTATATCTATATCTATTTAGAAGGTCCACAACATTACATCTCATACAAAGTTATTTATCTAAACTTTGGGTAAATTTTATACATGACTTCTCTCCACAANAATGGTAAGTTCATTATAATAATTTATAAATATTTGTCTGAGAAAAAAGACAATTAATTTAACTTTAATTATTAATCTTTATGACAATATTATTACGCAAAGTCATTGACTTGAGTGTCTTTTGCAGACACTCTCGCCCACGGCTAAGACAAAAGAAGAGAGAGAATAACACAACTGGATGATGGAGTAGACAACTTTGAATGTTTTGGATTAAGGATCTCAACCCTACCAAAACACTTCTATATCTATATCTATTTAGAAGGTCCACAACATTACATCTCATACAAAGTTATTTATCTAAACTTTGGGTAAATTTTATACATGACTTCTCTCCACAACTCAATATTTTCTTCTAAGATATGTTAAGTGTATAATTCCTTATGCTGAGTATTAAAAATGTAGAAAAAATATATTAAAAATATGATTTAGTTTTTCACCTTAATTCTAAAGTAGCCTGAAGTTAATTCATAAAATGAACATTTAGTTAAATTTGAAGTATTTTATAAGTTTGATTATTTTTTAATTGAGTTTTTATTAATTTTATTTTCAATTGAGTAGCATTAAATTTGTATATATATCAATTGATTTTTATTTTTTTATCTTTTTTAGTTGGATAATTATTTTGAACCATTATGTTACTTGTTTTCATATCATAAAAAGTGTGAAAATTTGTGATTATTATAAAATGTAAAGTTAATTTAAGACTATAGATGACCTATTATTTTGTTCAAAATTATAATTGATGGACTTGTCACTACAATTCATGTATTGGTTGTTGTATGTGATGATGTGAAAGTTATTAGCATGATTATCTCGTTATTTAAATATTTTTAATTAAAAAATAAGAATTATTTATCACTTTATAATAATTTTAATAATATTTTATATTTTAATTACAAAATCTCATCTTTCTTAGTACGTGGATATAAGTAAGCAAAATGACAAGACAAGATAATAATTACGTTGTTCAGTTAAGATAAAAATTAAAGTATAAGAACTAATTTGAAAATATAACAATTTTGAATGCTCAATAAATAAAATAATAATAATAATAGAAACTAAATTAAAAATGTTTAAATGTATGAGATGAGAGATTTCAAACTTAAATAAACTTAAAATTAACTATACTTATGTTTTAAGTAACATAAACATGGAGATTAGCTTTTAAAGTTAACCATTAATATAAAACCAAGTCATTTTTCTTCTGTGAGTAATGCCTTTTGTTTGGTCTCTAAAAGTATCAAAATTAAAATTAGTTCTTAAAACCACGATTTATATGATACACCTTAATTCTTAGATAAATGAAAGTTAATTAATACAATACTTTTTTTCTTTCTTTTTCAAGATGATAAACGATTGTTAATTACATCAAACTTCAAACTTTTATTAAAGAGAGAAAGATCTTTCAAAGAATTTTCTTTATAAGGCTTGCCTCTACCGACAAATTTGATATACTATTACAATTAAATTTTTTATCTTTAGTTTTGACCGCCAAAATTGTACGACTTTGGCTTTTAAATCTTTACTATTCGGTGTGACCCATAAATTTTAGTGTTTTTCCTTTATAATCTTTACCATTTGTCTATTTTATGCCTAATACTTCTTATTGCGATCCATATTGTTTTATAGTGAATTTTGTTATTTTAACATATTTTCATTATGTTGATAAGAATTTGCGTATCATATGTTTCTTTCATATTATTTTGTATAGGAATGAAAAAAAGATTGAGTCTAGCATATCAGACCAGCAGTTCGATAAAAAAAAAATACTTAAATGACTTTTTCAATTCGACAGTTCGACTGTTTCTCTCAATCCAACAGAAAAGTTTGGACAGTTCAATAGCTCGACATTATTAAAAAATTAAAAATAAAGAATTTGTTCTTATCTAATCTAGCACGTCAGTTCAATAACCCAACATCATTAAAAAATCTAAATGCAAAGAACTCGTCCTCGCCTACGTGACAGGCCAGCCCGACATAGATGTTATATTCAAATAAGTGATAATTATTTAATTATGAACATGTTTTGGTATTTAATGGGAAATTAAAATGTAGAAACTAATGTTATATTCAAGGAATTGATAAATTATTCAAATGCAGCCTAATAACCTAACACTAGCTAGGTAGCTCGCTTGGAAGTGTGCTCGACATGAATCAGTTTCAACCCGATAGCTTGACAGGTCGGGTTGTAAAAGTCAATCAGTTATTAAGT